CAGCGCTATGTGAGAGCTAGGTGGTGTCGTTATTGCTACAAGCCAAATGGTGGGATTCGAAACGGCCAGCCCTGCACGCTCCCCGACCTGCCTTTCACACCGCGCCCACCCGCACCACTTTCCCGGCCAGCCCTCAGTGACACCTCGGTCTAGTTTTACAGCAGTCCGTGGGTTTGCCCAGGTGAACCGGATCAGAACTGAATTAATAGCTCTGCCCATGCACACAGAGGTAGAATCTGCAGCCAGAGCTAACACCGCAGGCATGTCTCTGTCACCGCAATGAGCAAGCATGACTGGTACACGCAGGGGCGGCTCTATGTTGTTTGCTGCCCCAAGCACGGCAGTCAGGTGGCCTTCGGTGGCATGCCAGCGGGCGGTCCGCTGGTCACGCGGATTCGGCGGCGTGTCTGCGGGTGATCTGCCGGTTCTGCACCTTCGGCATACCCGCCGCCGAATTGCCGCCGAAGCCGCGGGAGCGGCGGACCTCCCGCAGGCATGCCACCGAAGGCTGCTTGACTGCCGCCCTCACAGCAACTGGCAGGCCGCCCCCCGCGGCTTGCCGCCCCCGGCACGCGCTTGGTGCGCTGGTACCTGGAGCCACCCCTGGGTGCACGAGGCACAGGTTTGGGGAGCGTGAAGGTGCCATTTTTGCACAGACACTTTTCTGGGTAGAATTGCACTTTAAGCAAACATTAGACATTGACTAGGAGCTGAGATGGCCCCTAAAGACATCTGGGATGGGGGATGAGATGGGGGGTTAAATAGAGGGGTTGAGGTGTTTACGTTCAGGGCTGGGAATTGGGGTCTCCCAGTTTCTAACCCTGGCTCTGGCACCAACTCGTTCTCCTGGCTCGGGCAGCTAACGGGCCGTGGCCCTCCAGTTCCTCAACTGTGACCTGGGGAGAAGACTTACCTCTCATACACCCAGGCAAGAATGAAGTCCTTTAATAGCCATTGCTGACAGATGCTATGTGGTAGCAAATTATGATTAGAAAGCAGCAAAGGGGGATGGCCCAATGGTTGGAGCACTAGACTAAGAATTGGGAGACCTGGGTTTGAGTGCCGGCTCGCCCACCGATTCCCTTGTGAGGAGCTCAGATACTCAGGTAATGCAGGCCAGACAAGTACGTTAGACAGGTAAAAGGCACATCGAGCATGGACAAGTCCTGCCAGAACGGTGAGGGAGGGTCTGATGTTCTGAAATACAGCTAGGCCAAGGCTCTCATGCTGGATACACTGAATCTCCAGCAAATGCTCCCCATCCTGCCGGCTCTGGGGCTCACAAAAGACAGCAGGGAAGAGATGCTGACAAGGCAGACAGCCAAGCAGGAGACTGACCACTGGGGGTGCAGACAGCCCCGGACTACCTGTCCCCTCGCTCTCACATGGTGCATTGACTCTCAGCAGAGCCCAAGCCGATCTCTCTGGGGGGAAGAGACGGTATCTTTTGGCTGAGGATTCCTGGAAGGCACTGGAGATCTGGTGCATTTGACATCACAAGAGAGAGCTCCGAGCAGTGGAGAGGGGAAGGGACTTTAGACAGGCCGTGTGAAGCTTTCAACACCACCTCTGTATAACGGACTGTGACGAAGTGGGGGTTTTTCTTGTTTTCTGTGGAGTTTCAATGGTTTGCATGCAGAGGGGGTGGGACTCAGTTTCCCTGGGTGTTACTGGTTTAACGAGGTGAGGGGAGAGGGAGTGTGTTTTGCAGAGGACCGGAGAGAGGACGTGGGGACCCAGCCGGTGGCCGGGAGGATGGATACCCCAGCGACCGGTGACCTGGTGACCCAGAGGCCCAGCTGAGGAGAGGCAGCTGGTTCTGGCCAGTGGGAGGACAATGGGCTGCAGAGGGAGGACCCGGTGACCTAACCAGCCGGTTCCAGCCAGAGGACAGAAGCAGGAGAGGAGGCCCCGGGGGTCCAGAGTGAGTGGACTCCCTGAGGGGGCCCACGGCAGAGACAGATGTGCTAAGGCTTGGAGAGGTGTGGCTCCAGGAGGTGGAGGGGCCAGACCCTGAGAGAGAGTGGACCCCTGAGAAGGGCTGTCTCACTGAAAGGGGCACCCCCCACGGACCGCCCGGGGCCAAGAGTGGGCACGATCTGTGAGTCCGTGACACAGACGCCTTGGGAGAAAAGCTCCCAATGAACGTTTTTACCTCCCCATCCTTTCCAGCAAGCACTGCAAAAACTTTCACTCCAGTTTGGCACCAGTTGGGAAATCCTCCAAGAAAATACTGAACGTACCTAGTGAGCCTAATGTTAAAAATAAAATAACCCCGCTCCAGACCTTTATATGCTGCAATGAAGCAAACTAAAAACGCCTGGTCCTTTACGCCTCTGCAGGTCGCCTTTAACCACATATTATCTTCACGGCTCAATCCTGCAAGGTGGCGAGGCCTCTGGGGGATTATCTTCACGGCTCAATTCTGCAAGGTGGCGAGGCCTTGGCCTGATCCAGCCAAGCATTTAAGCCCCGGATTGAATGACGTGTGCAAGTGGTACCCTTGACTTCACTCGATTCTTCCCGTGCTTAAATGAAATGCTTCCCCCTTCAGACTCTCGCTACCTGCGTCTCAGGCCCCTGGTGAAGCTGCTAAGAGTGTGGAAAGGAAACACCGTGTTACCACGTCTTGGTGGGTAGGAGGCTGCAGGAAGGTCGAGAGGGCAGTGGTGGAATGCCAGGCAGCCCACAAGCCGGCATGCCAGACAGGGGCCTGCCCAGGTACCTTGCGTCTCTCATCACCATAGTGCCAGAGCTGTGGGTTTAACCCCAGAGACGTGTGCATTGTAACCCCAGGCGCAGAGTTCACTGCTGGGTGGGAAGGGGGAAAGGCCCGGCCTGCCACACAAACCTCCTGCTTAGAGGGGAAATCACTAAACCAGATCCGCTATTTCAGTACCTTGGACAGCACTCGCGCTCCAGGGCTGTTTTCACTAGACCTGCCAGGTCTAGCCAGCTAGGGGAGCGATCTACTCCGAATTGAACTGAAACCCACGAGAACCAGCCAAACATCCCACAGCCTCCTTCCGAGCAGGGCAAATTAGTGTTATTATTCTAAGTAAATAATGTGAATGTGACTAAAGCGAGACTATTTTTCAGCCAGACCTTGCCCACCAGTTTCTCCAGCCCTGCGTTGTTCCCTGCGGTTCTGGGTCCTTGGACAGTTACCACAGGGGGGGCAAACAATGCAGTGACTTGCTAAAGAAAGATTCCCCCGAACCCGGACCCGAACCCGGACCGCTGCAATTAAAGGATGATTACTGCACAGCAGGGGTGGCTGCACATTAGCATGCTGCCAGGAGAGTGTCAGTCTGGAACCAGACTTCCTGTCTGGAAAGAGCAAATGCTGGGGGGAAGGGGAGACGCTAACAATGCCTCCTAAAGCATGCACCATTTGCATTCAATCCTGACAGAGCGACAGGGAGACTCTGCAGACACATCCCCCTCGTGCAGAGCCCCAGAGCAGGTGCTGATTGAAGTGCAAGTTACAAAGAAAGGGGGGGGGCAGGTAGATCAGGTCTTGAAATGCACCTAGAACTGGGCGTGTTCTGGGAAACAGGCAGAGATGGGACAGGAGGGGCCGCTCGCGGGGCCGCTCATATTATATTCCACTAGGGCAGGGGGTTCTCAACCTATTTCTTTCAG